GTGGAGGGCTGGACATGCTGAATCGAAGGTAGAGATTTCTGACTGGAAGCTGGGATGTGGTTCTGGAACACAGTAGGGTCCAAAGCTCTCAAGAAGGGTGAAGAGAGCCCTGGGTTTTCCAATAAGGAGCTGGTTGATTGCCTTTGAGAGTCTGTGGGCAGGAGGAAGAAATCTGAATGCAATAGGTTAAAGGATGAATGGGAGATGAGGAATGATAAGAGCACATGTGGACAGCCCACCCTTTCATTTGGGAAAGGAGACAATAAGGATTTTAGGGTCTGGAGTATGAGACAGAGAACAGGTTTGGTGAAAACAGATTTTAAAATCTTCAAAAGATTAAAATCTTCAAAAGCAAGAGTTGATAAAATCACTCAGCAAAAGAGTATACAGTGAAAAAAAGAAATGTGCCTAGCCTGGACCTTGGTGAGTAAACACACTTTTACTGGGTATACAATTCTAGGTTGTCAGGTTTTTTTCTGCCAATGCTTTGAAAATAGTCTGCGGTTTCCCATTATATCTAACAAGAAGTCAGCTGTGAGTCTAGGTAACGTATCTTTGTTCTCTGGTGCATTTGAGATTTTCTTTTTGCCTTTGGTTTTTCTTTTTGTTTGTCTTTCTTAGAGTTCATTAGGTTTCCTAAATCTAAGCATCCACAGCTATCGTCAGTTCTGGAAAACTCATGGATATCCTCACTCCAAAGATGCCTCTCCCCCATTTTCTCTCCTCTCTCCTTCCGTCATGCTCATCAGACAGACACATTAGCCCCTCTAACTCTTGATGGTTTCTCTTAACTTCTCTTGTATATTTGCGGTCTGTCTTTCTGTGCTGCATCTAGACTAATCTCTTTATCTTTTATTCTTTCTTAATCTCAGTTTATTATTTTTATCCAAATCACACACACACACACACATAGTTTAGAGAGCCAGATAATTGTACCAGGCTTGTGACAAAAAATAGTAGTACCCTGACTATTGTTCCTTATCTTCTGCCCTCCAGGAACTTTCAACTCTTTTAACTGAATCTTTTAATATTTGCTTCCATAGGTATAAATAACAGGTCTGAATTACTCCTCGGCTTTTCAGTTTGGTGTGATCTATTGTTTTTGTACCATGGGAAATGTGGATTTAGCTTTATTTCCTCTCCCACTCACATACCAACCCCTCCCAACACACACATTTCCCACACCCAGACGTGAGATAGACTTGGTTAGATTAGCATTGAGTCTTTACATTTTATGACGATGAAAACTCTGGTCCCTGCTGAGCCTGTATGAATTATCATTTCCTGAACTTCTTTACCTTTCCCTTCCTGTTCATACCCAGTACTTAGTCTTCTATGCACACAACACTAACGTAACCCTCACCTCTCCTCTGGTTGTGTAACGGTCTTCTCAACATGCCCAGACATGGGGGCACTGTCTGTCCTGTCGTGAAGGCTTTTCCCGAGCTGCCTGGCTGGGGCTCGTTTCCAGGCCGGTGTGCAGCTCCTGTCTTGGACTCCACTCTGCCATCATGCTGAGGGGTTCACCAGCTTCTTTCTCATGTTTGGGCTCCTGACTCCTGGAGCCCGCATCTTCCTCGTGAGATTCACAGCCTCATTTTGGCACAGTGCCTTCTCTAGTAGCTTCCATGAGGAAGAATATATGGGATGTAATTTTTTCAGACCTTGTGTGTTGAAAAATATCTTAGTCTATCCTCATGGTTAGATGATAATTCAGATTGGGAGTAGAACTTGAGGTTGGAAATCGTTTTTCTTTGGATGTTTGAAGGCCTTGCTGCATTTCTTCTAGCTTCCAATGTTGCTGGTGGAATTTTGACATCATGTTTTTCTTGATCCTCTGTATGAAAACTGTTTTATTCTTTCTAGAAACATAGAGGATCATCTCTTATTCCCGGTGCTGCAGAATGTGCTCATGCTGTCTTGGTTCCAGTCTCTTTTCTAGCTACTGTGCAGAGCCCAAGGTGGGTCCTTTCCCTTCAGAAACTCATGGCCTTGAGTTCTGGGAAATGTTCTGGAATTATTGTATCCCCTTCATTCTTAATATTCAGTATTTCTGGAACTCTTACTGCATAAATGTTGGATTTTCTAGTCTGGCCCACTGTTGCTTTCTCCTCTGATTAGTTCTAGTTTTCATACTTTCTAGGTCTTTCATCACTGTGATTACTTTTTTGCTTCCTAAAACATCTTTTTTCGTATCCTGAGATTTTTTATAAGAATCGTTTTCCTGTTTCATAGATCAATAATTTTTCTTAGTCTCTCTAAGGCCGTTGATACCACCTTTCTCCTAGTTTTCTTTTCCATGCATGGTCCGTTTCTCTGGGCCTCTGTCTTTCATACCCTGGAAGATTTCCTAATGTGTCTGCGGATCCCTGGGCATCACTTGGTTCACACTTAAGAATGAGGTGTGGGCCGGGCGTGGTGGCTCATGCCTGTAATCCCAGCACTTTGGGAGGCTGAGGTGGGTGGATCACGAGGTCAGGAGTTCAAGACCTGCCTGGCCAACATGGTGAAACCCCATCTCTACTAAACAGATACAAAAATTTAGCTGGGTGTGGTGGTGCATGCCTGTAATCCCAGCTACTCGGGAGGCTGAGGCAGGAGAATCGCTTGAATCTGGGAGGTGGAGTTTGCAGTGAGCCGAGATCGTACCATTGCACTCCAGCCTAGGCAACAAGAGTGAAACTCTGTCTCAAAAAAAAAAAAAAAGAATGAGGTGTGGGCTGCCTGGGGGCTGTAGCTGAGGGGTGGGCTGCCTGGGGGCTGTAGCTGAGGGATGGGCTGCCTGGGGGCTGTAGGTGAGGGGTGGGCTGACTGGGGCTGCAGGTGCACTGCTGAGGGCTTGCTCACTGTAGCTCCACCACAGGGTGGTCACTCAGCTATTTTATTGGGAAAACTCAATGTCAGATTCTAGATATTTTCTCCTGGGTTGGTCAGGGTCCTCAGAAGAGGCTTTTCTAGTCTCCTGCTAGAATGCTAGAAGCTGAGTAGAAGAAACCTAGGGGTCTCAACATTCACTTTTCTTGGATTTGTTCATTATCATATCCCACACCCAGTGGTTTTGCTCCAAGAGAGTCACTTGTAGTCTCTGCCACTGTGGCAGGGGGTCCCAGCTGCTTAGGAAGGAGGAGGAGTCTGGGGACTCGTGCCTTCCTGCAGAGAATCCCCCTGGTTCTCTACTTATCTCACCTGGCTTTTCTGTCCCATGGAAGAACCTGGTGCTGCCCATTCCAGAGCCTTCCACAGCTCCTTCCCAGCTCTTTCCTGCTGACTTCGGGTTCAGCATTCTTGAGTCTGCCACACCAGTTCTCTTACCCCTCTGCTGTCTGGTGTCCAAACTTCTGTCACTGTCCCCTTTCCCTTCTCTCCATCTGCATGGCTTGCAGGCTCGGGAGAGACCTTTATAGTTCCCCTTTCCCCCCGCGGGGGATGTGTCTTTCCTCTCCTCTGTTGTGGAGTGGAGTTGTGTCTAATAATTCACTCCTTGGGGAGCTCGCCTTTCAGGGATCCACACTTGATGAGGGGTCTCTGGTCTCATGCTCACCTTTGACAGCCCAGACTGTGTCTCCTGTCTCCTGCACGAGCAGCACATTGGAAACCAAGCTCCGGGTCCTTCGGGACTGGCAGATGCCCCAGGGCGGCACTCAGCTGCTGCAGAACTCCCTCTCTGGGTTCACAATTTCTTGTCTTTTTGGCCTCTGATGATCTTCTTTACTCTCCTGTTGACTTGACATTAAAATATTATTTTAAAATATGAAAATAATAATTATGAAAAGAATTGTGTTTGGGAATTCTGCCCCAGAGAGGTTTCTGCAGACCTCTGGTCCCCCGCACAGCCCTCACCATGTTCCTGCAGCACTGTGGGAAGCTTGACACGCCCAGGGTTTCCCTCAGCCGCGCTTTGGGACTGGGAGGCTGAGCACCACGATTCCCACTCTACAGCTTGCAAAGCTGACTGGCGCATGGGGAGAGGGAGGCAGAGCCTGTGTGGAAAACGAGTTGGAAGCTCTTTTCGATGAACCATGCTCACAGAAGACAGCGACAGGGGTCTTCTCTGGTCAGAGGGGGAAGCCATGGGGTGGCTGACAAACGCCCCACAGGCTCTCTGGGGCACGGGTCATAGGCAGCACAGTAGGAGTCCTTGCCTTGATGCTACATTTTCACATGAATAAAGGAAAGCGTCGTCCCTGCCCAACCCAGGAAGGGTAAAGCGCATGCCTGTGAACACCTCTGCTTACAGCGCAGGAGCAGGCGTCTTAGAAGACCGTGGGAGGGGGACCGGCTGCCAGCACCGCCGGCTCTCCCAGGAATCCCTCAGAGCCAGTCCACAGCACTGCCACCCACCTGTGTGGCCCCAGGAGTCACAGGGCACGGTGGTGTGCGCTCCAAGGGCTTCACTAGACTCAGGATTCCCGAACAACCCTCGCATTACAGCCAAGAGGTGTGACTGCAGCCGCCTCATCCGTTCATTTCCTCTGCCATTCACTTCCCCTCACAGAATGAAAGTGAGATAAGGCCTAGGCCAGGTTCCACCTCTGGGTCCCATTAGTTTTCACTCAAAGTCAAGGTCTCCTGAAGAAGTGAACACACCTTCAGTCATGTTGGATGGATTGGGGTGGTTGGTGGGAAGACAGCTCTTTGTTACTTGATGTTTCTGCCCACCAAACTTACCGTGCTCCTGGGAAAATGGCAGAGGACAATTAGGGGCCAGGGAGGATTGATGGATGGCAATGGATTTGCCAGGAAATTGTTTTGCTTTGCAAAATCCTATATTATGAAACGAATGGTTTTAACTAGTTTTATGCCCTTCTGTGTTAGTCACTGGTGAGCATCATCCTAGTTGATCTAGTTCTCATATAAAAAGGAGTCTGAGCCATCTGTAAAAGCATTCAGTGTTCTGACTGCAGCACATTGCCTGCTCTTTCCTTATACGTGTGTGCTCTTCTTTTCACTACTGACTGTGCTGTCTGTGCCTGCCACTCACTCTGTCCTTTCCTTCACAGGTACTGCGACTGCTTCGCCAGTGGAGACTTTTGCAACAACTGCAATTGTAATAATTGTTGCAATAACTTGCATCATGAAATTGAACGGTTTAAAGCCATTAAGGTAATAAATGTCCATTAAATGCATGCATTTTAAAAGCATTTCAAACTGTTTGAGATGTTCATAAAATGATCTCCAGAGATTCCTCATTGGAAAAAATCCACAGTTTTGAAGAATTTACATTGAACACGACTTGATTCCTGCTGGTGGGAGTATTGAACCATGACAAGCAGCTGTTAAAAAGTGGTAGGCAGAGAAAGGCCTTTTGCCCTTTATTATGTGGGAGTCTTCAGAGATGCAGCAGCCTAGGAAGGTCCTGATTCAAGAAATGCGAATGTCCACTTTGCTTGGAGTTTAGAATTTGGGGTCATTTCACATAGCAGATAAGCATGAGCTGGAGCAGTGTAGTCGCAAACGTGTAGACAGTCCACTGCGTGAGAAGGCTGGGTGAAAGTGCTCAGGCAGCCTACATTTTCAATTGTAAAATTTAACAATTTAAATTTTACCCCTCAGCTTCCAGAAGAAAAGAATCTAGGTTTTCACAGGGATGCAAAAGGTTACTTCGATGGCCCTGATGACCACTCTGCTGAAGGCTAAACACAGGAGCTTGCAGCTTTTATCCCTTTCTGTAGGCACAAAAGATAATCAGGGAGAAGGGAGGGACAGTTAGGCTCAGGGTTGTCAACCCACTCCAGGGAGACACTTCCAGTGCCCACTCATTCACGAAGGGAAATTGAGAGCCATCGACTGTAGACCTGAGACTGTCCTGTGCAAATAGGACACAATTATAAGGGTGTGGCTGCTCTGCATTGTTTTCTAAAATAATTTAATTCTCCTCTTGAATTATGGATAAAGGACTTGAAATATCTTACCAATTTTGATATAGCCAGATCCATAGGACAGAAGAAAATTGTCATGCATGTAAACTTGAGTACATTTTGTTTAGGGATAAAGAGTACTATCTACAATTAAAACTATAAAACCAAAAAGGGTTGGAATTCTCATACATTGCTGATAGGAATATAAAGGGGCACAACCACTTCGGGAAATTGTTTGACAATAGCTACAAAAACTAAACCTGTGTGTATGCTATGATCCAGCCATTTCCTTCCTAAAAATATAGCCAATAGAAACGAGCACCAGTGTCCACCAGGAGACTTATACAGGAATGTTCATGCAGCTTCATTCAGAGTAACCAGACACTGGAAACAGCCCAAACATCCATCTGTGGTAGAATGGATGAATCCACACATTGATGGAAAGCAGGAGCTACAGCTAAGCGCAGCAGTGCGGACGGACCTCCCAGTTGTTATCTGAGGGAGGCAGCTGACGCAGGAGTACAAGCTGTGGGATTCCTGCGGCACCAGCATAGGCAAACCTAAAGCCCTCTACGTCTGAATAGCGTTCCCCGCGGGGGTGCACCACTGGGGAGGAGTCACAAGGCAGCCTGTGGGGCCGCCTGTCCTCTAACTTGACCTTGGTAGCAGGTACACAGGTGTGCGCACAGGTACACAGGTATGCGCACGTGCACAAGATCATCATGCCACAGCTGCAGATATGTGCCTCCACTGCCTGTCACACTTCAGTGATCCGTGAAAATGCCTAAAGCCACGCACCGCAGGCTGGGGCTGTCTAGCAGCACATTGTGCAGCGATGGCCTTGTGCTGGGGGCTGTGCTACTGGATAGCACCGATTCCAAATGTCAACCCCAGGAGGGGGAAGGGAGGCCACGGACTTCCACTGTGACCTCTCTATTGTTTGAATTTTTACAAAGAGCATTGAATCATTTTGTATGTAAAGATATGTATGTATTTGTGTGTATAGATAGATTAAAAAGGGACAACAAATAGACCTGGATAACAACTTGTGTGTATTGCTTGAGAAAGGCATGGCCCAACGGTTGAGACCTGCTCTGAAGTCAGCACGGGACTTTGAATCGAGATCTTGCCACTTACCTGCAGTTTTTTACCTCTCGGTGCCTGGGTTTCTCCATGTATAGAACAATCATACAGTAGATGATTTTACTTCCCGAGGTTGCTGAGGATTACATGAGAGGGCATGTATATACAAATCCCATGGAAAGACGCCCGGCACACAGTGTGTTGAGGCAGTGTGAGCTGCTAGTATGGTCCATGGTCTCAACCATTTTAGGAAAAAGGGCCCCAGAAATGCTGGATGGAAACGTGTCCACACGGAAATAATTATTTTCTTTGCATCTTTACCATCTATTATTTTTTTTTACAGTAAATATGTAAGACTTGGAAACTCAGGAAACAAAACATGAAGAAACCTTAGCTACAATATACCTTTTTGTATGGAAACAAATTGAAATCAAACAAGAAGGGGCTGCACCTTCTGAACCATGTAAAGAGAGTCACTGCTTACTGTGGCAGCTTTTACAACCAGATTCAAATGAGATGCCCTTCATTGAGCTGAGTTTTGAATGATAATATCCATCCTGATGGAGCTTCCCATTCTACCCTAGGCATGTCTTGGTAGAAATCCAGAAGCTTTCCAGCCAAAAATTGGGAAAGGCCAATTGGGCGATGTCAAGCCCCGGCACAACAAAGGGTGCAACTGCAGGAGGTCGGGCTGCCTGAAGAATTACTGCGAGTGCTATGAGGTTAGTGCCCAGCTCCCTAACTCACTAACAAAAAACACAGGTAAATATTTTGAGTGACTTTTGGGTTAAAAACTTCGCTGTAATTTAAAAAGATAAATATATTTTTTTTCTTCCAGGGTTTCTAGAAGGGCACTTACATTATCTGAATTAATTTCCCAAATACCAGCTGAGCTTTGTGAACCAGGGCAATCCACCAAGGGCTGTTTTGGAGCATGTTGCTTCCCCTGAGCCCAGCCCTGAGTACCCAGTGAGGGTGCCCTCTGCGTGGCCTTTGTCCTTCTGCGGCCACTGATCCACGCTGGTCCTCCAGCAGGGTGGAGGCTCCCAGAGGGCAGCCGTGCCTCTTCCTCCCTGAACAAAGCCCAAGTGCTCTAGGTGGGGCCGTGGGGGGAAGTTTGGTCTCAAAGACTCAGTCTGTTCCTGGTCCCTGTGGCGCTTGTCCCCAGACATCCATTCACCTGGTGCTTTGACCAAGGGTAGCTCCTCCCTGGCTCACAGGCCCATCAGAGACCAGAATGGACAGTCAGCGAAGCCAATGGAGGGAGGCTAACAAAGCAAGCTGCAGATCACAGCCTGGACGGAAGCTTTTTCTTTCCCAAAGATATAATGACAGCAGAGGGACCCACTTTCCCCTTCAGTGCTGTCGCTGTTTCACTCTCTTTGCTCTTTCTCTTTTCCTTTTCCTTTGTGTTGAGGGAAAGGAAGAAAGAGAAAAGTAGGGAACCCTTAGGCCTATCAGGGGGAGCAGCTGAGCAAACCTTCCTTACAAACCTCTGTTTTGGTTTGCTTGAGGTCTTTTGGGGGTTCCTGTGAATTATACTTTTCAAAGGCTGTCTGTCACAGAGGGTCAGGCTTGAGAATAGTCCTCCTGATTCTGGAGACATGCACTGAAAGACCTGGAAAGGTGGACCCCACAGTCCCCAGCAAAGAGGTGGGAAAACACAGTCAAAACATGACAGAGATGCACAGTTGAAATGGAGTGACATCACGCCGAGGAACCAATTCCAACCGCACTCACAGTAGCTCCTGTGTCCTGCAAAACGCCCTCACTGGCTGCCACGATACTACGGCTCAGCCTATTTCCCCAAGGCCAAGCCTATGCTGGGCACAGCCCACAGAATGTGCAGCCTCACAGGAAAATAGCACTGTCCTTTAGTCTCTGGCATTCGTGTAGACTAGAAACTCTGAAAAGCCTCCTGCTTCAAAACACCCAGAGGTGCAGATGAAACAGAACACATCCCCCTGAAGATGCATCTCTCAGCTGGAAAGAACAAAGGGAAATCCCCAGGGGCCTGAAGGAAAGAGAAAGCCAAAAACCATAGTGATTGGCAGTGCCAGCTCTTGGTCAGCCCCTGGGGCCCACATGAACAAGGATTTGGCATGAGGGGGGCAAGAAGGGGCTTGCTGGGTACAGATGGGACACGCCCGGTCCCCTGAGCATCACATTGCCAGGAAAAGCTTGAAACAAAATGCAACCGCAAGGCAGCAGGAGAGGTCTCCCCTGAGAGCTCCCAGCCACAGACCTGCTCTTGGGCAGGTTTCGAATTCTACTCTCTTGTACATTCTCTGCACCCATAGAAACAGCATAATAGCCTCCCATGCTGAAAGAGAACCATAAGCTAGAGTTTTATAGTCAGCTAAGGCAGGCTTTCTTCAAAACAAGTCAAACGAAGCAGCCTATTGGCTCCCTGGTGGAGAAGGGAGAGCAATGCCCTCTCTGTGCTTGGGACTCAAACCCACACACTCGGCCTCCGCTCCGTCAGCAGCAAGACTACTGCATCTCCTCAACAGCAGCGTGTGATGAAAACTGCAGATCACACACACACACACATTCTCAAACGCACACACTCAGTCACACACATTCATATTCACTCACACATATACACATACATACCCAAACCCCACATACACTCATATGCACACACACGCATACTCGACACACACCTCACACACTCATACACACACTCAACACACACTCTTACCCACACATTCACACTCAACACACTCACACATTCACAGTCAACACACACACACTCCACACACTCATACACGTTCAACACGCTCTCACCCACACATTCACACTCTCTCTGTCTCTCTCTCTCTCTCTCTCTCTCTCTCTCTCGGGCAAATATACGCAAAGAATTATTTAAGGTCCAAATAGAATTTGTCAGTTTTTGTGACTTGTGGGACAACCTAATTTTATTGAAGCATTTTGTATTACCAGGCCAAAATTATGTGTTCTTCTATTTGCAAATGCATTGGTTGCAAAAATTATGAAGAAAGCCCAGAACGAAAGACACTAATGAGCATGCCAAACTATGTGCAGGCTGGAGGTTTGGAAGGCAGTCGCCATCTGCCACCAACGAAATTTTCAGGACTTCCAAAATTCAGTCAGGATAGGTAGGTACTTTGAACTAACCTCTGCTAATAGAGGGAACAGAGGTTAATTTAAGAGGAGAATTAAGGACAATTTATACACTGGAAAGAATGTGTGAGCCTGCAGGGGCGGGCGTGTGTTCAGGGGGCAGAGGGAAGCCGTTCCTCCCTCCATGGGCTAATCCTGGGTGGCGACTGTGTTTCCTTAGAGGCCTGCTGCGGAAACCTGTTTTGTCCTCTTTGTCTTCTCGGCTCGGCCTTTTCATCCTCACTCTCTGAGTTACTCCTGTTTTGTACCGGATGAAAGAGCCTGCTGCCAGGATCACCAGCAGGGCCAGCAGAGTTCTGACACTGCCTTTGCGTTAATACAGAGCCACACCGACCCGGGGCAGCAAAGACAGCGCGTACCTCCCTGTCCTTTATTGTGAGAAGTGGCAGCAAAGAGCTGTGCTTGGTCCAAGTTGTTTTCCTTACTAAGCGACTGTGGATCTGGATTAGTTGGATAATTTTGCATTTATCAGTTTTAACGCCGCATTGTAATCCTAGTAGTTCTCAAAGGTTGAGTCATAATTTTACTATCTATTAGATTCCATTCATTTGTTTAAAAAAAACTTCTTTTTAAACTTCAGTGTAATGGTCAATCAAGATAAAGTACCAGATGTCATTAATTAATATTTTGCAAAGCCAAATTCATGCTTATTTGGTTAGAGAGTATCAGAAATACTCATGACTGTGACCTGCAGGGGTGTGTTTTTTTGTTTGTTTGTTTGCTTTTTGTTTTTTTTTTTTTTGAGACCAGCGTTTTCACTCAGTTGCCAGGCTGGAGTGCAGTGGTGCATCACAGCTTATACAGCCTCAGCCTCCCCAGGTTCAGGTGATCCTCCCATCTCAGCCTCCTGAGTAGCTGGGACTACAGGCACAAGCCACCACATCTGGCTGATTTTCTATTTTTTGTAGAGATGGGGAGCTCACCATATTGGTCTCAAACTCCTGAATGGTGATTCACCCACCTCTGCCTCCCAAAGTGCTGAGATTACAGGCGTAAGCCACCGCACCCAGCCGACCTGCAGAGGTCTTTATCAGTAAAAATTGACCAAAAGTTGGCTGCATTGTCTGAAGTGATGTGTGCAAATGTCATCGCCTGTAGCAGGGTGTGTGTTCCGTGGAGTCCGGCAGGGGCCTGTGCACTAGAGCCTGGTCTTGCAGTGTTAACGGCCCTTCTTTTCCCCAAGGGCAACCCTGTCTTCTTCTTCAACCAAAGTCATTGTGTATTGTCTTTATAGACAGACTTTAATCCAAAATTTTGCTCTATTTTTATATCCAAGCTTTTAATCTTTTATAAAGTTTTCCTGAAAAATTGTCAACTTAGCACCACCTGGGTCACTGTCTAGCTGAGCCACAGTTGCCCGCTGAGCTCAGCCAGGAGAATAGCTGGTCCTGTGTAATACGGTGCAACTTGTCCTTCAGAACCTCTTTCACAGCTCCAAGCGGCATTGAGGGAGAAGGCCATCCTGACAGCAGGACCCCAAGGCTTGACAGGCGAGTCCTCAGAACAGTTGGCCTTCTCTGGCTGCACATGGTCCTGTGGGGAGGAAGGTGGACACCCAGCATGGACAGGACTCAGAGCAAAGCTGCCTGGCTTGTCCCCATGTCCTGCCTCAGCTAAGAGTCCTGCTTCCACAATTTCCCACCTGGCCCACGTACTTGACTCTGTAGCCCGGGATCCTCTGGGTTTGTCGGTGGATCTAATTTTGAGGAAATTTCAAACCCGCCATGAGAGGGATGTCAAAAACTGACAGATTTACTTGTCCTCTGTGTTGTTATTCTAAAAGCAGTTAATCCTTTCTTTCTTTTTTTTCTTTCTTTTTTTTTTTTTTTTTTTAAGAGACAAGATGTCGGCCGAGCGTGGTGGCTCACGCCTATAATCCCAGCACTTTGGGAGGCTGAGGAGGGCAGATCAAGAGGTCAGGAGATTGAGACCATCCTGGCCAACATGGCAAAACCCCATCTCTCCTAAAAATACAAAAATTAGCCAGGCATCATGGCACATGCCTATAATCCCAGCTTCTTGGGAGATTGAGGCAGGAGAATCACTTGAACCAGGCAGTCGGAGGTTGCAGTGAGCTGAGATTGTGCCATTGCACTCTAGCCTGGTGACAGAACAAGACTCAGTATTAAAAAAAAAACAAAAAAAAAGAGAGACAGTGTCTCACTTTGCTGCCCAGGCTGGTTTCAAACTCCTGGCTTCAGACCATCCTCCTGCCTTGGCCTCCCAAGGTGCTAGGATTACAGGCCACTGTGCCTGGCCTAATAGTTTCCAGTATGAGGAAGACAACATTAGATTTTAGTGGATGATGTTCTTTAAAATAGTGTGGACAAGCAATATTCTGCTGAATATAAATAGTACTATAGGTAGAAACCATGCGCTGTTGAGTGGCCTTTAACTGCTCTGTTTCTGACAGGCGGCCTTCCTCATGCATCTCCTGGGAGGTGGTGGAGGCCACATGCGCCTGCCTGCTGGCTCAGGGAGAAGAAGCCGAGAAAGAACACTGCTCCAAGTGCCTGGCAGAGCAGATGATCCTGGAGGAATTTGGAAGGTGCTTATCACAGATTCTCCACACTGAGTTTAAATCCAAGGGGTTGAAAATGGAGTAGAGTACAGTAGAGTATAAAGTGTGAATGCGTGTTGATTTTGTCTTAGTCTAGAAATCTCTAGTTTAGAAAGGTTGTTTAGGGGAACGTGAAGTCGGCTCTGCAGCAACCACCAGGCTCCCCTGCGTCCCTGGGCCTGGGGAGTTTACTCAGAGCTCTCTGAAGACATGCCAACCCGTGCCCCTTTTCTGAGGAGGTGCGTGGCCTGAGCACTGTTTGTCTGGCCCAGAGGAGAGAGCTTGGGTTCCCATAGTCCTGGGAGAGTGTCTGCAGGGCAGTGGCGGGCAGAGCAGGGTAGGGGAGGAAGAGCAGGCCCTGTGGAGAGCAGAGCAGGGCAGGGGAGGGCAGAGTAGGCCCTGAGGAGAGCTCACTCCGGTCGACTCTTCCTCTTGGAGAATGTTGCTCTGGAGGCTGCTCTGCATAAAAACCCTAATGGTTTCTTGTTTGTTTTTCAAATTATTTAGAAATAAGTTCTCCAGATAGGCTGTTATGATACCACTTAAAATCTCTGGAGAACTACTGAACACCCAAAGATTTTCTGTAGTGTAGACATTTCCCCAGAGGCACGCAAACTGTAGTCTTTCCTAAGGCCCCCAAGAGACACAGGCAATGGGGCCTCACAGGCCGGGCTCGCACCAGCATGTCTTGAGTTAGCGGACTTAAAATTATCTAGTTTCTTCTGTGTTTCTAATTGAATTGTGGAAAAGCTCTATTATCCAATTAACTTCTCCATAATTATTGTTGTAATATTATTATTATTTGTAAAATATGGTTCACATAACTAGCTTGCGGAAACCAGCAGGTAAAATGAATTCTTAAGTTGACGCTTTCGGTTCTGTTGTAAAGCAAAGATGAATAAAAATTTCCAATGTCTTCAATTGTTGTCATTAACTTAGTAACTGAAAATGTGTTCATCTGATGAGTACCCACCCTGAAATATATTGAGAGAATATTCTTTCATGTTTGTGCATTCATTAATAGTGTTGGCCACTTAGAGGGTGTTTAGGAAACTCAAGTGCAAATGCAGTGGAGACAGAAGTGTGGCTGCCGGCCTAGGCACTGGGCACATAAGTGAGCAAGCAACCAGGGAGGAAGCGGTCTTTTGTGGAGCTGTGTCTGGAACAGTCTAGTTGCAAATGCAGCCACCGGAAGCCACAGAGGAGAAAAGGAAGACTGAATTCTTCCCCTCTGCAATTCCCTTTGGACCCTTGGGATCCAGAGTCTGTGGCAGAAAACCAGAGGTAAAGACATGCATTGTGACACAGGGAACCCTCAGCCAGCCATACTCCCCACTTGCTGTGTGTGCTTTCGGTCCCGTCAGCATCGTGGCGAGCAGGGAGGCGCCCTGCTGGAGGAGCCACCTGGCCCCCTTCACCTCTGGGAGCTGGAAGGTGACCTGGAAATGGGGACTTTGGGAGCTGCCTCTGTGGGGGCTGCGTCCATCCTGCTGTCCCTCTCGGCAGCACAGCCAGCAGCAAGATCTGCCAGCCACATGAGTAATGTTAAAGTTTCTAGTAGCTACATGTTAAAATTTGAAAAGGAACAGATAAAATTGGTTTTAATAATCTTTTATTTATCCCATCGTTTCAATGTGTAATCATAATGAAAATGAGATTTCACATTCCTTGTGTGTACCCAATATTTGAAATGCAGGGTGTCTTGTATTCACAGCAGGTCTCAGTTGGCACCAGCCACACCTTCAGAGTTCAGGCACCTCAGCACAGCCCTGAGGCACCGAGTGGAGAGAGGAAAAGGGAACAGTGTCCTCCAGCATTCTCCTGAGGCAAAGGGCTGCCTAGGGAGATCCTGAACCAGGTGTGGCCCACCCGCAGAGCCTGGAGGAAGTGTGAGCAGGGAACTCAGTGGGGGGCTGGGGATACAGTCCCCCCACATTACACGGGAGCTCACCCTGAATCCCGGGCTCCTATGGAGAAGGAGCCTGCGCTGGCCAAGGATGCACTGACTGTGGCCAGGTGCACTTGAACTAACGCCTGGAGGTGAGGGAAGAGCCAACCTGAGCAGGCATGAGCCCTGCAGGATCTTCCAGCAGAGAAGAACTTGCTGAGTAGGTGCCACTTGCAGGGGATCCGTCTGAGAAGTGAAAGCCGAGATACAGACGTGAATAAAGCCACTATGCTGACCAGAGACTGTACAGAAAATGACTATAAAGCTGGAAAATCACATCTTTTATGTGTCTGGCGGAGAGCCAGTGCTATTTTAAAGCAATATACAAATTAACGTATCATGTTCTTATTTGAGAGTGTAGCTGTGCAAATTTAACCATATCTTTTTTTTTTTTTTAAGATGGAGTCTCACTCTGTTGCCCAGGCTGAAGTGTGATGGCGTAATCTCAGCTCACTGCAACCTCCGCCTCCTGGGTTCAAGTGATTCTCCTGCCTCAGCCTCCTGAGTAGCTGGGATTACAGGCATGCACCACCACGCCCGGCTAATTTTGTATTTTTAGTAGAGATGGGGTTTCACCATGTTGGTCAGGCTGGTCTGGATCTCCTGACCTCAGGTGATCCGCCCACCTCGGCCTCCCAAAGTGCGGGGATTACAGGCGTGAGCCACGGTACCCAGCCTTAATCGTATCTTTCTACTCCGTACCTATTAAATAACTCGGACCACCTTTGTGATTAAGGTTAAATTATCTGTTGGTTTTGGTTTTTTGTTTTGTTTATCCGAAAGAAAAAAAAAAAAAAAAAAAAACCTTGTTTTTTCATAGACACGGAGAAGCAATCGTTGTTTGGAATGACACGCACTGAAATCGCTCTTTCCTCTCAGTGAACACGGGCTGCGCATTGCACAGAAAGTCGGCAGCCGGGTTAGGAGAGAAGATGCTGTTGGCGGCGGAAGGTCCGCAGAGGTCTTGGTGTATTTTCCATCCGGCTTGGATGCTCTTATCCCCTTACAAACCTCTCACCAGGACCTGAAGTTCTGCCAGCACGGGTCCCTTTTCAGCGGGGGCGCGGCTTAAAACCATAAGAAGTTACCGTGCGGAGTCAGTTAATACGCTGTCTTAGGGATTCAAAGGTTGAACCCTCATCCGGATAAGACGATGAGAGCAGCCAGAGGATCCAGAGAGCAGGAGCGGGCAGAAGACAAGCAGGGAGGAGGCCTCCGTTCTGCAGGCGGCGCGCTCTTTAGGAAGGCACCTGGGCACAGCTGGGGCCCCGTGAAGCCGCGCGGAGCTTTGTGCGCTCTCTCTCCAGCAGTCCTTCGATAGCCTCAGAGCAGGGAGGAAGCCCCGAGCGGCATCTTCCACCAGCCCTGCCTCCATCCTGCGACCGACCCCGGCCGCCAGCAGAGGCTGGAGAGCAGCAGGGAGCACTGCCCGGCCCCAGCCACTGATGAAACTAGAATTGAAGACTGTGATTGCATGGATGTTCTCTTCATATATTTAAAAATGATTAAAAATGCTGTGGTGCGATCATAGCTCACTGCAGCCTCAAACTCCTGGCCTCAAGCTATCCTCCCAGGTAGCTGGAACTACAGGCTCACACCACCATACTCAGCTAAGTTTTTGTATTTTTATTTTTTGTAGAGACAGGGTCTTGCTATATTGCCCAGGCCTTAAACTCCTAACCTCAAATGATCTTCCCTCCCTGGCCTCCTGAAGCACTGAGATTACAGGTGTGAGCCACCACGCTGGGTCTCTATTTTTTTTTTACCAGAGTATTTTTTAGAGTAGTTTTGGGTTCACAGCAAAACTGAGCAGAAAGTGCAGAGATTTCCCATATAATCCATGCCCCCCAAAACGGCAGCCTCCCCACTACCAACATTCCTCACCAGAGCCGTGCCTTTGTTACAACTGATGAACCCACAGTGATACACCATCATCCAAAGTGATACACCATACACCCAAAGCCCACGCTGAGGTTAGGATTCCCGCTTGGTGTTCCACATGCTATGGGTTCTGACAAATGTACAATGGCACATATCCAGGGTTACAGCCCACAGAACAGTCTCACTGCCCTAAGCCACCCCTGTGCTCGGCCTGTTCATCCTTCCCTCCCCACAACTCCTGGCGGTCACTGATATTTTTACTCTCTCCACAGTTTGACCTTTCTCAGAATGTCACTTAGGTGGGATCATACAGTAGGTAGCCTCTTCAGACTGGCTTCTTGCACTTGGGAGTATGCATTTATGTCCTCCATATCTTTTCATGGCTTGATAGCTCATCAAGCTTAGCACTGAATAATATTCCGTTGCCTGGATGTACCACTGTTCATCCCTTCACCTCCTGAAGAACAGCTGAGTTGCTTCCAAGTTTGGGCAACTTGGAATAAAGCTGCCGTAAATATCTGCGTGCAGGTTTCTGTGCGGACACAAGTTTTTAATCCCTTTGGGTCAACGTCAATGCGCACGACTTCTGGATCATGTAGTAAGGATATATTTAGTTTTGCATGAAACCACCAAGCTGTCTTCCAAAGTAGCCGTATCATTGAGTATTCCTACCAGCAGTGAACGAGAGTTCCTGTGGCTCCATCTCCTCACCAGCACTTAGCGTTGTCAGTGTTTGGGATTTTAGCCGTTCTAATAGGTGTGTACTGGTATTCTAATTTGTTCACTGCTATTTTAATTTGCAGTTCCCCAATGACATATGACGTTGAGCATATCTCCATATGCCTGCTTTCCATCTGCACATCTTCTTTGGTGAGATGTCAGTTGAGGTCTTTTGTTCATTGTTTAATTGGGTTGTTTCCTTTCTTATTGTTGGGTTTTACGAATTCTTTGTGTATTTTCGATAACAGTCTTTTATTAGATACGTCCTTTGCAAATATTTTCTCCCAGTCTGTGGCGTGTCTCCTCACTTTCCTGACAGTGTATTTTGCAGAGCGAAAGTTTTTAATAAAGTCCAGCTCATCAATTTTTTTTTTTCGTGGATCATGCCTTTGGCATGGTGTCTAAAAAAATCATTGCCATATGCAGACCATCCATATTTTCTCCTATGTTATCATCTAGGGATTTTATTTTATTTTATTTTATTTTATTTTTGAGATGGAGTCTCTCTGTGTCCCCCAGGATAGAGTGCAGTGGGGCAATCTCGGCTCACTGCAACCTCCGCCTCCCGGGTTCGAGTGACCCTCCTACCTCAGCCTCCTGAGTGGCTGGGATTACAGGCGCCTGCTACCATGCCTGGCTAAGTTTTGTGTTTTTAGTAGAGATGGGGTTTCACCATGTTGGCCAGGCTGGTCTCGAACTCATGACCTCAAGCAATCGTCCCACCTTGGCCTCGCAATGTGCTAGGATTACACGTGTGAGTCACTGCACCTGGCCAATCTTTCAGGAATTTTATAGTTTACAGTTTACATTTAGGTCTATGATCTATTTTGAGTTAATTTTGGTGAAAGGGATAAGAGGCTTTATCTAGAGTCATTTGTTTGCATGTGAGTGTCCAGTTGTTCTGGCACCATCTGTCAAAAAGGCTGTCTTTTCTCCATGGTATTGCTTCTGTTCCTTTGTCAGAGATCAGTTGGCTCTGTTTGTATGAGTCTGGGCCCTCTATTCTGTTCCACTGATCTATTTTTCTATTCTTTTACTAATACCACACCATCTTGATTACTGTAGCTTTATAGCAGCCTTCCAACTTTGTTCTTTTCTTTCAATATTGTTTTGGTTATTCTGGGTCTTTTGCCTCTCCATATAAACTTTAGAATCAGGGGTTGTGTTTTGGTTTTTGTTTGTTTGTTTGTTTGTTTGTTTGAGACAAGATCTCAGTATGTTGCCCAGGCTGGAGTGCAGTGGTGTGTGATCATGACTCACTGCAGCATTGACCTCCCAGGCTCAAGTGATCCTCCTGTCAGCCTCTTGAGCAGCTGGTACCACAAGTGTACATCATCATGCCTGGCTAATTTTTTTTTATTATTTGTAGAGA